ATATTATCTAAAGATTTTATATCCTAGAGATAGAGATACTCTAGTCTTTCAAAAAAATGATAGAGATACTCTAGTGCTTGATGTTGTGAGAGCACGCTTACTCCTTGTTTCGTCAGCAAAATGAGTAGAGCGTGTATAGATTGCTAGAGGTTTGACAATGACAGAGCCACGGCTAGATCCTCTGTTTCAAGTTTTTAGTCGTACCCAAAATCATCCGTTTCTAGTTTCAACAACAACACGACAAGCAGGTGTGTAGCATCATTAGCCAAACTCAAAACCCTCTGTTTCGAGTTTCGACAACAAAACGACAAGCACGTGCATAGCATCGTAGTCATACCCAAAATCCTTTGTTTCGAGTTTCAACAACAACACGACAAGCATGTGCGTAGCATCATTAGTCGTACCCAGAATCATTTGTTTCAAATTTCAACAACAACATGACAAGCAGAGGCGTAGTATCATTAGTTGTATCCAAAATCCTCTATTTCTAGTTTCGACAACAACACGACAAGCACGAGCGTAGCATCATTAGTCGTACCCAAAGTCCTTTATTTCGAGCTTTGATAACAACATGACAAGCAGTTATGTAGCATCATTAGTCATACCCAAAATCCTCCGCTTTGAGTTACGACAACAACACGACAAGCAGGTGCGTAGCATCATTAGTCGTACCCAAATTCCTCTATTTTGACTTTCGACAACAACATGACAAAGCATGTGCGCAGCATCATTAGTCGTACCCAAAATCCGTTGTTTCGAGTTTCGACAACGACACGACAAGCGCATGCATAGCATCATTAGTCATACCCAGAATCTTTTGTTTTGAGTTTTCAACGACAACACGACAAGCAAGTGCATAGCATCATTATTCATATCCAAATGACAAGTTCACTACTAGTTCCCATGTTTCAAGAGCAACACGACAAGTAGAGGCTTTTGTATATCGCTAATGTAATAATATCATATCTTGACAATAAAGAGCTTGCATGCTAGTTTCCCATTCTAATAGCAATGTGATAAGCGAAGGGCATACACATAGCCTACGATTTGACAATAATGAGCTCCCTTCCCGAGCTCCCTCGTTTTGAGAAACACGACAAGCAAGACTGCATGTGCCTTGCAAAACAGTTTTAGACAACAAGACATCGAGGTGCCCCTCCAACTCTGACCCCAACCATCTTGCTTCACCCACTTTCGGGCAAGAATGCTGCCCACAACCACCTTTATAGCCTCCTCTTCCACCTTCAAGTACTTCACCCAACCAAAATCAACCCCTGACTTGATTTCTTTTTTCTCCAATGGGAGGCATGTGCTGATGTGCTCCAAGTAATTTAATCAATGGTTGCCACCATGCCTGCTTCCGATCAAATAGGGAGAAAGAGTGTGAGAGAGATTGAGAGAAAGATAAGCGGCAAGGGAAAACGAGTGCCTCCTACCCAAATGACAAGTAGGTGTCTATCATTATTAGCCATACCAAAACGACAAGTTCCTTGCTAGTTCCCATGTTCCAACGGCAACACGACTAGCAGAGGCAAATCCTCTGTTTCGAGTTTCGACAACAACACGACAAGCAGGTGCGTAGCATCATTAGCCCGTACCCAATGACAACTTCACTGCTAGTTGCCATGTTCCAACAGCAACATGACAAGTAGAGGCAATCCTCTGTTTCGAGTTTCAAAAACAAAACGACAAAGCAAGTGCATAGCATCATTAGCTTGTACCCAAACAACAAGTTCACTACTAGCTAGTTCCCATGTTCCAAGAGCAACACGACAAGTAGAGGCTTTTGTGTATCGCTAACGTAGTGATGTCTTGACAATAAAGAGCATGCATGCTAGTTTCTCGTTCTAATACCAATGCGACAAAGCGGAGGGCATACACATCACCTACTATTTGACAATAATGAGCTCACGTCCTAGCAGGGGCGGATTCAAGGGGGCTGGTGGGCCTGCAGCCCCCCCCCTTGGGCCAAATATTCTACTAGCAGGTCTTCACAAACAGTCCAAAAGTTCCCCTCTGCAGCCACCACACACCAGCTTTTCGTAATTAGTTAGTGCTTAAGTTGACTAAATTGATATGGTTAGCAAAGTAGCATAATTTTTTTTATATAAATTGATAGGTTCAAGATATAATTGAAGATTTTATTTCGAGGAATACTTGGAAGATGATTACATGATGTTAGTGCTATCTTTACCTTCTTATAATTTCCTTATTTGTATTAAGATGAGATTAAGTTTTTTAAAAAAAAAAATAGAGCTTAACTTGCATTCGAATTTCTAGATATGGTCCTAACCAGTACCATTTCTAGCCTTCTATTATTTAGCCTTCCTCTTGATCCGTTTCTTGATCCGCCATCTGCGCCCTAGCTCCTTGGTTCTGATAGCAACACGACAATCGAGTGTGCATGTGCCTCGCAAAACAATTTGTGAATGGCAAGGCAGTGAGTGAGGTACCTCTCCACTAAACTTTGACACCAATCATCTTGCCTCCCCCGCCATCAGGCAAGACAGTTGTCCAAAACCACCTTTATAGCCTCCTCTTCATCCTTCAACTACTTCACCCAACCAAAATTAACCCCTAACTTATTCTTTTTTCTCCATTTGGTGAGGCATGTGGTCCAAAAGTAATCAAGTCAATGGTTGCCACCATGCTTCCGATCAAATAGGGAAAAAGAGTGTGGGAAGGAGTGAGAGTAAGAGAAGTGGCAAGGGAAAACGGGTGCCCCTAACCATGTGCATTGGCACATGACTCGACTTTGAATTGCGGGTGCAGTGGTATACTTAAAGCCAACATATGTGCTAAAAGAAGGAACCTAAGATGTTTCCCTATTTTTTTGGCAGGAAATTCAGTAACTTCAAACAGGATATCAAAATTTCCACATACCATCTATAAGGGGAAGAGGTGATCATGTCATAGAGCGTGTGCAAACAAGACATCAAAGGTGAATGAATGAAAGTAGGTGCGACGCCGAGTAAAAATCTAAATAAAAATGGGCATCTAAAAATGCAAAATTAACAAAAAACAAAAACAAAATGCATGTACTACACAAGTTTTTCATTCAATATTATGAAGTTAAGAATTGAACTTGTGGACAATGTGTTGCAGCACATGTCTTCTTGCGATCAATTTTTGCACAGTAATCCCAACATCTGCACAAATCAGTTGGAGAGATACAGCTATCTTTTCTATCCTAAACAGTTTTAGAACAGCAAGGTATACAAAACTTGTGCATTCCAAATTTTGAAAATGTTCCTTTTTTTCTCGTGCAGAAAGTATAACAACTGGTTCAACTTAATATTGGTATCATATTTGTCCTCCAATGCTGCATTTCATTTCAAGTACAAAAGATGGAATACAGGCACTCAAACAATTAAGGAGGCCATTGTCTTTTATCATGCCACACAGCGTGCTACACATCCTGAATATGTCATTGTGCTGCTACTGCTACTGGTAAGAGTCTTTGCAGACCCATGCTCCTGCAACACTTTTAAGGTGCTAAGCTGCTAGTTATACATATGAGAAAGCAGTAGAAGCATCCTCTGCACATGCTTTGCCAGAATCAAGCTGAATAAACAAGTGCTATTCTCTGGTTGCAGAACTAAACACAGAACTCCATTCTCCATTTTGCCTATACACAAATCAAATATGCTCGAATTCTCCGTATGAAGGGTAGTGAATGGAATCAGAATGATCACAAAGCAATTTCACCAATGATGTGAACTTACCAACCATTCCAAATAATTTGCTGTTGAGCTTGTTGCGTCGGGTGCTGTCAAATTGCAAGGTGTAAGGAGCTTGACAATTCCCTTTGCTGTTGAGCTTGTTGCTTTAGCAGATTCTGTTTGATTCTGAGGTTAAAGGAGCCTGGAAATTTCCATGGAGAGGGATCCAAAAAATTCTACATCATCTATTAATTTAATTATACAGGGATTCATAATAATTAACTATATATAGGCTTACAGGTTAGGAGTCTACATACTGGTTAAGTGGTCATGTGGGCCTGCAACATTATGGTGTTTTTAAAAAAAAAAATATGTTGCTCTTTTAGAGATTGTAGTTCAATCTTGTGGACCTTTACGTTCAATTATTTTATAAATACTTCTACATCAAGCTGTTCTTCGTCTCCAGTAATGAGATGATTTTCCATCAGAAAATGTGAACTAGTATGGCACAAAGAATGTCATCAGTATTATCATGAGGATGTGTGATGTAATCTTTTTGAATATTCAGGTCAGCAAATGGCATGTACATGGAAAATACCCCACTGATTTGATCGTCTCCATTTGCCATATAGTCCTTTCTCTTTTTGAGCCTTTGAAGTAAACATAAACCGGTTCTGTGAATTATATATGAGAACCTAGTTCTAGTTGTGTGCTATCCAGTTATAGAATGCCAAAAGAAAAATGCCTAACTGCAGTGACAAAATGCAAAAAGGAGTGCTCGTATTTTGCAGCATCGCATCTGTATAAGTCAACTTTTGCAGAACAAGGAAGTACACTTGACCACACAGTCACAACAGATTTCCTGTGCTACGCAGTGCTTTTATGTACTATAATACCCAGTGACATACCAAGGCAACATGATTTTGGTATCACTACTTTTGTGCTGCTCAGTCACAACGACACTAGCAATTGGAGCAGAAGCAGAGAGACCCAAGCAGAGTCAATAATTGTTTTTCCGCTAGAATAACTTGCTAATATGACATGCTTGCAATGATGAACAATAACTATGCTGAAAACTCAGGAATGCCTACATCAGGGAACCAGAAATAGAAGCTAAACCAGAAAATATATTCCCAGTATACAACAGAACAAGATTTATCATAGATACTGGAACTGACATTTCGACTCATTTTGCATGATGTAGCTACATACATGGTGTGTAAGAGAAAGGTGGGAACAACGTTGAGATGTCATTGGAGCTAATCATGGTAATAACTAACACTGGGGCATGATCTGTAGGTTTTATTGAAGGGAGTGACATCACTCTGGTACCTACTGCTACTGTGGCCTCCTCCTTGTTCTTCTTATGGTTGGGGACTCCGAAGGCCTTGACTGCCTACTTGACCCAGGCTCGGCCACTATAGCAGGTGTGGTCCTTTGCCGGGCTGCAGGAACCGAAGTCATCTCGGTCCCCGCCGGGGTTGGGAGGCCTCCCACTATACGCTGGTTTTGTATCAGCTGCATAATCACCGATTCAATTTCTCTTGTGTCCCCCGCTATTGCCGCCGTTTGCAACTGCTGCCTCAGGCTCTCCCTTCTGTTTGCTCGAGGCCTGGGCGGCAAGTCAGGGTTGGCGGTGGACTCCCCTTCTTCGCTGCCTCTTCCATATATCGGAGTGATATTCTCTTTCAGCACCACACCTTTGCAGACAGGGCACTCACAGAAGGGTGACTGTGCATAGAGCCACCGGTACAAGCATGGCCAGCAGAAGAGGTGGCCGCAAGGTGTAACCACGGGCTCTTTAGCCACGTCAAGACAGATGTTACACTCAAAGCTAGAGTTGCATCCACAGGAGTCATCCTTCTCAGGCTCGCCTGCCACCGCCGGGGCGAGCGATTCCTTAGGCTCGCCCATTCTTGGGGCTTCCGGCGCAGCACCGGTCGAGTTGGGCATCATCAACGTCCTCCTCCTGCTGCTGCTCTCCGCAGCCTCCTCGCCCGCCATGCTCGCGCAGTCGCAGCGCCCACTTGCTCTGCGCTGATTAATACACCTACACCTGCAAGACCCCCATGAGGAGACACCAGTCAAAAACAGCAAGAGCAAACCTCCTACTCCCAGAATGGCAGAATGCCGGAATCAGGATCGCGTCGAATCATGAACCTACAGAGGCTTCATGGAATGTCGCGGCGGCGAAGGAGGGCCGAGGTTCTCTCAGGCCCCACCATCAGCGAAATAGCGGTGGGAAATCGCTGGAGGAGCATGCAAAACTTATTTCCAAGATTGAATCATTTTTTGAGAGTTTTACCTCTACTTTTAAGAAAGCATAGTAACCGATACAAGACTGGGGGTACCAGCAGTGGCGGAGCTTAGTGAGGACCATAGTGAGCCATGGGCCCCCTAAGCTAGAAAAATCCTTAATGAAAGTCTTAGTTTGACCATTTTAAGTGGTGATGAAACACTAATCTACCCCCTCTCTTCCTACTTCATATTATATTGGCCCCTCCTCTCTTCATGGCCAAGCTCCGCCACTGGATATCGGTACAGCGAAAAGAAAGGATCACAAACTGAGCCTAATACATACAGAAGCTAAATTTCAAAGATGTCTGAAGGCTCCACCACGCTAGGCATTCCAGGATTGAATCATGTGCAAGCAAATACATGGAAGGGAAGGGATTTGTGTTTATGTATTACTTACAGAATTCAAAGCGGTCGGAGACTCAAGAGCGGATGGGACTATCAGGCCCGCGACTATAGGAGAAAGACAGAAACAGGAGAGAAAGGCTGGCACTGGGTTTTACTTCTCTTGTGTTTGTTGCCTCAGGAACCCCGCTGGTGTCCCATTTTATAGCATGGAAATCATTTATTTTTGAATAAAAAAGATTTGGCGCATTTATTAAAAGTATTTTGGTAGATATCATATTCTCTAAATATTTTATTATTCTAGAGATACTCTAGAGCTTGATGGAGTGTCTTCTTGTTTCAACAGCAAATGAGTAGAGCGTGTATAGATTTCTAGAGGTTTGACAACAGCATACTCACTTGCTAGATCCTTTGTTTTGATTTACGACAACAACACGACAAAGCAGGTGAGTAGAGTTTCGACAACAACACAACAAGCAAGTGCATAGATCATTACTCATACCCAGAATCCCCCGTTTCTAGTTTCGACAACAACACGACAAGCAAGTGCGTAGCATCATTAGTCGTACCCAAAATGTCGAGTTTCGACAACAACACGACAAGCAGGTACGTAGATCATTAGTCGTACCCAAAATCATTCGATTCTAGTTTTGACAACAACACAACAAGCAAGTGTGTAGCATCATTAGTCGTACTAAAAATCCTCTATTTTGAATTTCGACAACAACACGACAAGTGGGTGTGTAGCATCATTAGTCGTTCCCAAAATCATCTATTTTGAGTTTTGACAACAACACGGCAAGCAGGTGCGTAGTCATATCCAAAATCTTTTGTTTCGAGTTCTGACAACAACACGACAAGCAAGTGCATAGCATCATTAGTCGTACTCAAAATTCTCTATTTCTAGTTTCAACAACACAACAAGCAGGTGTGTAGCATCATGCATTAGTCTTTAGTCATACCCAAAGTCCTTTGTTTTGAGTTTTGACAATTACATGACAAGCACGTGCGTAGCATCATTAGTTGTACCCAGAATCCTCTGTTTTGAGTTATGACAACAACATGACAAAGCAGGTGTGTAGCATCATTAGTCATACCCAAATTCCTCTATTTTGAGTTTCGACAACAACATGAAAAGTAGTTTTGATAACAACACGACAAGCATGTGCTATAACATCATCAGTCATACCCAGAATCTTTTGTTTCGAGTTTGAACGACAACATGACAAGCAGGTGCGTAGCATCATTAGTCGTATCCATGCCACACCATGCCGCGACGTGGGCACAAGACCATGACGACAACCACACCCGGATGTGCACTACAAGATGGTGTTACTTGCAAGCCAAGTTAGCTAGGTTCCCTCCCTCAAGCTCACGACCCCTCAGTTGGGAGAACCTTCTTCTTTGTATGTGACATGGCCCCAGACTCTATATAAGGGCAGCCAGGGCACCCTTCCATGGACATCAGACTATCGAAGCTCTCATTCGGCCAATCCATCTCCTAGCTCTAGCACTCCTACCTCTTCACCATTCTTGCACCCCCATTGTAAGAACTTCAGAGCATTCAAGCGAGGAACACGCACTCAATCATCTCTGAGACTGGACGTAGGGTTCCAGCCTGAACCAGTATAACTCCTCGTGTCTTTTGGATGCTACCATCGTCTTCCTAGAGCAGCACGACATTCGTATAAATTCACTAGTCGGTCAACAAAACACCGACAGTTGGCGTGCCAGGTAGGGGATAGTCGCGCACTCTTGTTGTTGAGAAGGAAGCAATGGCTCCTCGCACCGTTGATGGATTCGCCCGTGGAACGGCCCATGACGCCCGCATCCACCACGGGAACTCCGAGTTCATCGGTGACGAAGGGCCAGCGCCCACATCCGCCTTCAGCCATAGCCAGGTCCTCTACCCTGGAGACCTAGACCCCATGACCTACGACGAACACACTCTAAAAGAATGGCCCTCAGTGGCTGCATCCCAGAGTTCACCTACATAGGGGGCCAGTACCCTCTCTCATCATCAGCCATGGCCAGGTCTTCCACCCAGGAAACTAGAGGCCTATGGCTCATGGCGAGCTCACCCACGGAATGGCCCTTGGTGGCCACATCCTTTCAAGAAACCATGAGATCGTCCGCGCCGATGGATTAACGCCCGTCACCAGCCTCTACCCCATCTAGGCCCACTACACAGGAGGTCTGGATCCCATGGTAGAGCCACGCCCTGAGCGACGTCTCTGCTACCAGCGGAACACGGTAAGTCAGGGCGCACACGAGGGACAAAACCATCCATCGCCGCGCGGCGCTGTCGTTAGTGATCAAGTGGCCATCCGGCGCCACGCCTCATAGGGCCAAGCCCAGAACCAGGGTCAAATCCCTTGTGACAGACTAGCCGTCCGTCGTGCCATTACAAACTGTCAGCTTTCACACGGAGGCACGTGCATCCAAGGAAGCAGGCCCTCTGAGAGCATGACGCGCCACGCCAAGCGAACCGAGCCACGTCGTCCTTAGAGCCCACTTCCGCAGCAACAGGTTGCGCCAACTCTTCATCAAGAGCGGCAACCACACCTAGAAGTAGAGACGCGATGACTAAGACATCATCGCGCCACGAGGACTCGCGCATCAGAGCGCACGAGCCCTCCTGGCCATAGACTTCAACAGGCCGAACATGAAGAAGCCACCCCAGGGACTCGCGAGCCTGCTGAGGACGTCGAGCCAGCAAGGATTGACCCAAGGTCGCCCGAGAGGTCGGCCTCCATCGGCCATGACCACTCCAAGCGATAAACAAGCGCCCTCACCAGCTCACAACCCAGGGACCACAACGACACCGCCATGAGCATGAACTCGGGGACTTGCCACGACCCAAGCAACGACGGCCAGACCCACGACAGCTTCTGGTACACTGCTCAGTTACGTCAACTTTATCCCTAGCTTCTCTACCCAAACAGGTTCACATACACGTGTAGGCTCACCTATAGTTCTGAAAATTCAGAGCCAACCTGTAGAGTAGGCTAGAGAACATGATACCATACAGTCAATCCTAGTGTCGTTTACCTCTCGAGTGACCTGATCCGACCAGTGCCAGCAGCCGGACATGACTCACTCGTGGGGGCTACACATATGAGCATACACCTATGAGTTCCAAAAGCGTAGCACTATTTGTCATCGTCCTAGCGACCCGTTTCGAGTCTTTTCTGATCGCGCCTCGCGCCATGACGAACCGGTGACCTGCTCCTTGACTTCTCATTCGCACTAAAGAGGTCGCTCTAGCCAAGCCACGTTGACCAACTCCTAGGCAAGGCCAAGCACCCGCGCACGTGTCTAAGGAGAATGGGGCACTAGTTCACTCAAGGCAAAAGGAACGAGAGGAAACAACTCTTGCCGCCCGCTCGTTTTCTTCTCGCATCATACCGGATCTATGACCTGCCCTAGATGTCCCACAACGCCATCAGGCCATGCATTGTTTTAGCCCCGTGGGCCAGCCCCCAGGCTAAAGCGTGCACCTGTGCATTCAAGACTAAGGGGAATGGAGCACATTCCAATTTGAATGAAAAGAAAGTGAAAAGGCAGCAAAATGACAAATGAATGCGCCAACCACACATCTTATACACACAGAGCACGAGTATGTTAATTGCAGTAGGACCATCCATATAACACATAACCTTTACACTAAAAACCCTCATACACTGAAAGTCTGGTACTGGCGGCGGATGCAGGCAGCCGACACATTGCCCATAAGGACCTCTGCACCACTAGCAGCAGAATTGCCGATGGCAAGAATTCCTCGACGAGTACCTTTGCCCCTCGGCATCGTAATCAATGTCGTTGTAGTGGGAGCCGACTGATGTCAAGGCTACAAGCACACCACTATGAATCCCCTCGGAGATCAGGAGGTCCTCCCGGCAGCGAGCCTCATCGAGGTGAAGCACCAGCCGGGTATCTGCTCGGCCGGCGCCAACCACGACGTCACGCATGGCCCGTCCAGAGATGGTCAACGCAGCCAGCTCGGTGGCCGCCTCCTGCGCTCTCTAATCTATGACCATCCTCGCCTCTAGATCCGAGAGCACCTCCGTGCACAGCCCTAAGCAAGCGATTGATCTGTAACCAAGTACGTAGACAAAGAGGACTCACCAGCGCAAGTGGAATGGAGGCTTTGGCACTCAGCTTCGAGGCACCAATGACCCTGCTCGGCCTCGTTCTGAGCAGCGTCCACCGCGGTGCGGTCCGCCTCTTGAACGGCCACCACCACCTTGAGATTGGTGACCTGGGTCATCAGCAAACCGATTTGAGATCGAGCTCGCACCTCCTGTTCCATGAGCCACTCCTGGGTCATATCAACCCCTCCGATGGCATTGACCAGACCCTCA